TTAATATTTATTTTTTAGTTCTCGGCGGACACAACATCTTTGTTTGTATGTGGTGCTGAGGATCGAACCCGGGCCACACGCATGCCAGGCGAGCGCACTACCGCTTGAGCCACATCCCCAACCTGTGGGTGTATTTTAGATATTGCTGTTTCATTTGTGTTTTTCCTATAGTCAAATCAAGAGGAAGAGAGATTAATAGCGAATAATATATTACTTCCTTTCAGAAAGTCATTTGTTCAAGTGGCTGAATGTGTTATTTTGTAGCAATTTTATTATGTAAATGTTTTTCATCATTAATTATTAAAATTTCATAGTCCCGTGGGTTGTTCACATTATTTAGTAGCCCCATTCCTAAACAACAACAACAAAAAATAGGTTTAGTGAGATCAAGCTCATTAAGTGCTTCTGTCATATTCATTTAAGGAGAAGATTTGTTTACTTTTATGCATAGAACCGGAAGTAGGGTAGTGTTACAGTAGTTTTGAAAGAAATTGATAGCTAACATTTTCTGTGAACAAAAAAATCAATTTTCTTGCTTTTATTTTGTTTTATTTTTTATATTACTAGGATTGCTGGGAAGATAACTAATGATAAATAGTCCAGTCTAATGAACTACATCTGTTCTTTTATACTACACAATATACCATGAAAATTCTCAAAAACACTGAGCAGTTTTAGCAGTTTATTGGCTGAAAGTAGATCCCCATAGTATTCTGAGATTTGAATATTAGAGGTAATACCACCCCATACTAAATCTTACATTTTTGTGTAGCAAGATTTACTTTCTCTGGGATGGCATTCTGGTTCAGTGGTGGAGTACTTGCCTAGCATGTGTGAAGAACTGGGTTTGAATCTCAGCACCGTGTATAAATAAATAAACAAATAAATACATAATTGTTCATCAGCAAGTAAAGAGAATTTTAAAAAAAGACTTACTTCTTTATGTCTTGATTTCCAGAATGTTCAGATAGTTTGAAAGGTTATTACTGACTTTATTTCTTATACCATGATTACATCCTAATGCCATAGAGTTCATAAGTTTCATTTTGTTTCTGTTTATGCTTAAAATATATAAAATAGCTGCTGTGATCTATTTTATAGCTCAACACCTGGATTATAAAGATGGGTTATTTTCACCCCCATTACTTGACACTAACTCTGATGGCTGTTAAGAATTTTCTGGATTGTTTATATTCCTATGACTCCAATGCAGTATTGGTATTTGTCAATGGAAAACTGTCAGGTTATTAGATATTTTGTGAAACATCCTTCTCTACAGGAAATTAGTCGTTTTGATCTAAATTGAAGAAACATCCTAATTTAACTTGATCACTAACAGAATGTCACAAAAATATAAAAGATGTAAGTGTCATTAGTATAGTAGGACAACAAAACTCACAGCACCTTACCTAACTGGCCTTTCATTTGCCTCAACAGAATCAGATAAAACCTAAAAATAATTTATCATTGTGTAGTTTTTTTAATAATTTTTTTTATACAAATGCAGCACAACTTTTTATTTCTCTAGTCGTACATGATGGAGAGTCACACCATTCATGCAATCATACTTGCACCTAGAGGTTATAATGTCCGTCTCATTTGTCCTGCATTATGTAGTTTTAAAATATTGTTTCAGAACGACTTTGATTGCATGTGAAAACAATTTTTAAATATGTATAAATATTCTAAGAATTAGCAACTTTTTTAAAGAATTTTTTTCACAATACCTTTATTCTATTTATTTATTTTTATATGGTGCTGAGGATCGAACCCAGGGCCTTATACATGGTTGCAAGTACTCTACCACTAAGCTACAGCTACAGCCCATAATTAGCAACTTTTACAAAATACTTTCTAATCTTAACATAATTAGAGAAGTATGTAAATATTTAG